AAATGCGCTTTTGCATCCACATTCATTCAATATCGTTAAAATGAAACAATGCATTAGGAAGTCAATGTTGTTTTTTCTATCTAGCATTCAACGTGTTTTTTGTGACTTTTTGTCCCAAATCTTGGGAAGACAAAGTGAGTCCGATCATGTCACCATGTGGCATTTAGAATAAAGTTACACATTCATTTTCTTGTCATTTCAGTGATAAAATATTATCATATCTAGTATTTTTGGTACACCGATTGTCACCATTGCCTTAGCAATGCATGGTTGGCTTGTGGTTATTTTGAAATTAAAAGGTGAAAATGACGATATAACTGTTTTCAAATTCTTCGAATATTTTTTCGAATTTTTTTGCATATTTGTTGGTGTGCATTATTGGCATTTGATGTGTATATTTGGCGTTTTTTCATTATCAAGTACGTGTTAATTGGCGCTTATATAAAAAATGTATAAAACCGTTATAATAGCTAAACGATTTATTATTCAATATGCACTTAATATTGCAGTAGCGTGAGAACTTTTACCTGTCGCAAATACATCAAAAAACCTTGGTCGCGTCGGGGGAGTGCAAACATAACGAAAACAAAAAAAAAATGTGAAAAATAGCAAAGAAAAAAGGCAGAGCAAAAAAACGAGCTTCTCAAGCTGCATTTCAATTTCACACGAATTTTAATTTCATTCATACTTACGGCAAACATAAAGCTCTTACACACCTGCTAATTAATATCGTCAGTATTTTTTAATTAAATTGTTGGCTATAATGTAATATTTGATAGAGCATGTAAATTGCAACTAAAATTCAGAGTACCGTTTTTGAAAGGAACCGATCCTTTTAATGTGATCCCTATTTGCTAGTCAAGTTTTATTAGTTATTTCTTTTGAGTTTTTATTTGGAGTTGTAGCTAGAGTTGAAGTGAATATTTTCGATGAATTAATTGAATATTTGCAATGCAGAGAATTTATCGTTCTTCATTGCAGAAATAATATTCTGACGAAAGAAATTTTGTGATCCAACGTGCGATAAAATTGATTCTATTCATAACTCATGAATTTACTGCGATTTACTGTTGACTAAAATAGTAACTGAACGGTTACAAAAGTCTCATACGATTGTATTTAACAGCTCAAGTAATATGTATACGAGTCACGTTTAATGCATTATTCAGTCTTTCGGACCATGTACATAATTTTCTGTTGATTATTTATTTATCGATTAGTGTGAATCTCGTACAAAAGGATTTCCGTTCCGAAAATGAATATAAACAATTGCGGCTGTAATAATATTCGAAATTATCAAAAATGGTAGGCAATCAAATAAATATATGCATGAAGTGAAGAGTATACTGTACCGTTGGAGGTGAATGATCGAATTCGTTATTAATATTCTTTGACACTGCCGTAAACAGAAATTAAAGTGATGTGCTACGTTGATTGATTTTTGTGTACGTTGATTGATTTTTGTTGTTGTTTATTGTGTGTTCTCTGTCCTTCACACACACACTCACTAGCAATAACAATCATATAGTCGATGCATTCTATCATTTTCATGTCGTTTGTATATGAAGCAGCTGAAAATTATCTATTCTTTGTGACATAATTTTTTTTTTAATTCAAAATCATGTCGAAATTTTCTTTTTCATTATTTTTTTTATTAAAATATGAATTTTTAAAATGCAAATATAATTTTTTCACTTTGCGATTGGTTATAATTCACTTGAACATTGTCGGTCGAATTTCAGTACAAATATCTTCTAAGGCATAGCCGGTGCACAACCTACCGCCATATAAATGCGTTTGGGCGACACCATCGATAGATTGTCGTCAGCAAACCAAGCTTTTCTGTTCGACAATCATCGTTGGTTCAGTCGGACAAACATATGCGTAGGAGGCATAGCTTACGTGGCTATACGAGGGTAAACAGAAATTCCATAGCACACCCACACATTTTATGAGCTTAATACGCGATAACGCACCAATATTCGGACCAATTTTGACCGATACCACAATAATAAATGATGAATGTTTAGCACTCACTGAATGCTAAAACCCAGACACAATTGTCATAAAATAAAAAGTGCATTATAAAATGTTTTTCTGCCAAATATTATTAAGCAATATTATCAGATTGAAACTATATTTTGCTCGTTAGTAATTTTATAGAAGGAAATCGGTGTGCCATAATTGATTGAAATTGTTCAAGTGTTCTAGATGGAATCAGTCGCAAGCCAATCCTTAATGCATATTTGATCTTAATAGAAATTGATTGGTTGCTTTTTTTGATGTGTCGACGTTTTGCATATCATTGGAGACTTTTTTTGGTACACGATCGTAGCGGAGCGGTTTTATATGATATTGCGTGCTTAAGGCAAATTATGACATGAAAAAAAATGAAAACACAAAAAATGTGAATGCCAAATGTTAACTTCCTCTGTATGCTTATTCATCGTTTGCTTTTTTCCACAACATGTTTTTTTTTTTTTTTCATTATAAATGGAGCGCAAAAACCCGCTATACCCTCGTCATCCATAGAACATTTCTGAGAATTTAATTTCATCGTAACTTGATTTTTGAATGATTGACACAAAAACCATTTCAATTCAAACGTTTATGATATTCGAGTACGTTTTCTCCCATTATGAATTAAATTTTGTGCATTTCATTCCATCGATGTGCCAGAACAAAAAAAAATTAGCGCAATTTTTCTGTAATGCAGGTTAACTTTGAACTATTTACATAAAACTGTATTTCAGACCAAAGGACATCTTTGTTAACATTGCAACACACGTTCGAATGTTAGATTACTTGTTGTTGTTGAGAATAGCACGGTTGCTACAGCACTTGGTTGTGAGAGCATTAAATTCGCGAATTCTTTCAGATTCATTTTTTTTTTCTGAACACCAACAGCATATGGACATACGGTTATGTTTCATTTTGATTTCGTTTTCATCGTACTATGTGTTGGCTGTATTATCATGATTTATTATTGCTTGTACAATGAGAATGATGTAGAAAACAGTCGATAATTCAATTCAATATTCACGATATTGTGATTACATATGTTCTAGTTTGAATCGTTCATGGTATAATTTGTGTTTCGATGTTCATGGTTCGAAGCGCATACCTTTTCAGTTGAATGCCATGTATATTTGCACTCTTATTAAGAATACAGACAGCTTCTGTAAAATTTCATTCTCACATAACAAATAAAACCGGTAAACATTGAATTAATTTCAATTTCTAAGCCAATGTATGTTTGTATTCTTTTTCTTTTTTTGACCCAGCTATTTTGCATTCTTCTTGCCTGCACATTAGTTTTTGCACTTAATCAATGCTTCACAACATCACAGCAACTACGGCTTACGAGATATTCTTTGCTTTACAACCAACACAGTTTTTGGATTTGTAAAAAAATTGAAATGAAGAATAAGTGATTCCACGGATAATATTCTATCTATTGGTTTCCTTCTTTTTTTCATTTTATTCGATTATCAAATAGACATCTTCGAATGTTCGTAAAAATTGTTTGAAAATCAATTTGAATGTTTGGACATCTATATACAAACAATCCTAATCGTATTATTTTTGACCTTAAGGTTCACCCAAAATGGTACATACGTTGTTATAGTCGCTGTCTTGTTACAATGACCCAGAAAAAAGAACGTCTTTCGTTGTTCTATTACGACGTGGGTCATTTTTTTATTCTTACAATCGAATAAAATCGACTGTATAAATTGTGTTCAGTTTAACGTGGCTTACATTGTGTAGCATAAAAAGTGAATTAAATTTTATTTTTAAATCGTTGCGTTCGCATGTTAAAGGTGTTTCGTTTTGTGATGTCAAAGAAATGCATTTTAAGATTGAACTGTATCTCGAAATGAAAACTTTCAAAGCTAAACGATGCCATTAAGATTGAATACAATAAATATTTAAATAAACTTAACATTTTCTCGGTATATATACTAGTTGATGCTCATAAAAAAAAGATGAGCACATTATTCCGTGCAGTTTTGATCGTAAGACAAATTCATCCAGCCCAAGTAACCGACATCGTTCCGAATATCGTGGTTAAATTTCGAACATACGTTGTTGGTTTTTATGCTTCTACAGAGCAACTTTCTGGTTTTGTTTCGTATACGTTTATTTTGAACGCGTGATTCCCAAAAGAACAAAACATAATTTAAGAAGAGAATAAAAAAAAACTTCCTTTTAGGTTGTTGTTTTCTGCTAGTCTTGCTATTATCGACCGGCTATTAGCAGTTGGTATGAAATTTGATATGCGGAATTTTTATACGCCTTAATGTGCACGTTTCCACTCACGTCTACATTCGACCAATCAATCCGAGAATAAAATCAACGAGAAGAGTGAGTGAGAGGTAGAGAATAATAACAAATATATTCTAAATAATGAATAAAAAATAGTTTTCTTTTCTGTTTGATGTCTATTCGCTGTACTTCGTCTCAGCGAAAATCATCACAATCGTTTTTTTTAATCGTTTGTCAACACGACTTTTCATATGCATCTCTGTCAATCTGTCAATGCAATGTTGGTTTACAGTATTTTTGTTTCAATTCAAGGTTGGGCAAATCTAACACGCCAACCAAATAGTTTGCTTGAAGGCCCGCTTACTTCGAAAACGGCACCAGTAAAAATGATCATTTATGTTAATTCACCACATCGACTGAATATAAGTCACTCCGATGCTACAGGTAATAAAATTGCACCAAGACCAAAATGAAATAATAAACAAACTAAATTGCTTGAAAGGTTCGAAAAAGCATCAGTATGAGTTAAATATTAATTTTTCCTATTTTGAGCATGGAATCATAAAAATAATCGATTTTTTTTCTTTTGCTTTCGAATGGTTTATACGCAATTTATAGGTTCGTAAGAGGTTGTTGTGAACGTAAAATGTCAAATATTAATGCAAAGTGCAATATGCTTCTAGCCGACAAGTTCATCAATTCACTCAACCTCTTTAAATTCAAAATTTATTTACCTTTTTAGTTGGATCACATTCGGCTCATCTATAAAAATAAAATAAACAAAAATTATTATTTTAAATTATTGTTGCACACAAAGGACAAGATACTGTATAAGTTTAGTGATATATAGAAATTGTAACTAAGCGATCAAACTAAAATCATTTGAAATTGTAGAATGATCATCGGCATTTAACTGCAATCAACACATATTTGGAGTAACTAAGCCCTCTAAAGCGAAACTATTTTGATTTCTCGATGAAAACGTGAATTTCCCCAAAACTAAATTCAAATCATTTTTTAATGCATTTAAAAAATCTAGGGGGTAGACACGTGGAATAGGATTAGACTTTTTAGTGTAAAAATTCGAGAAATTAAAGTTGAATAGAGAATTCAGTAGCTGGATTCACATGGATTCACTAATCCTGTGTATGGAATAGCGAAAATGGGTTAATTCAAAGTATTTGTAATCGATAGTACAGAATTTGATAAAAGCATTGAACTTGTTTTGAGATAGTAATTTGTTCTTTTTTGAAATATTTTTTAGTTCAAAAGTCGATTACAAATTTACAAAACAATAGATACACTTTCTCAAAATTTTATTGATGAAAAAAATAATTTTAATTATCAATAACAAAATGTCATACTCCAGTATCGATAAATAAGTTTTCAACAAAGTGAATAGCGGCGAAATGTGAGATCACATTTGACAATGAAATGACGGATTGGTGGAATAGTAGGATTAGTGTTTTTATATTGGAATCATGGTTTAATCGTTTGTGTCTCCCCCCTAGTAAAAAATGCGGCAGATTTCATTCGAAAACTTTGATTTTAGATTTAAATTAACCCATTTTGACAGATGTATCATTATCAATAGAATTTTCTTTAATGAAATGGGTTTTCTCTTTGAATCTGAAGTTTTCCTGGAGTATGAAGACAAATGAACTAATGCGGCATTGTCGAACCGAAAATGTTGACATTTTCTTTATACAGAAATAGAAACAAATATTCGAGTACACTTACTCGCACTTGCGGTGTTAGCAGAGAATCTACCCCTCTAAATGAGTTACGCACTCTATTTTACCCTATTTTTTGTGTTAATTTCATCCAAGTGAACGCACCGTAGTCATTTGTACGTTGAACATATTTCTTCTTTCACTATGATGTGTTCACTTGGATGAAATTAACACAAAAATAGAGTAAAATAGAGTGCGTAACTCATTTTGAAGGGTAGACTCTCTGCTAACACCGCAAAGTCGAGTAACCGTACTCGAATATTTGTTTCTGTGTATCTTAACGTTTTGACAGAAGCCATAATCAGAAGTATAAAGACTCCCGAGCTCCGTTCAATTTGTTTCGTTATTATGCTAGGGCATGAATTTCCAAAATCAAACAAAAAAAAAATGAGTCCCAAGGAATGGGTTAATTTAAAGTGTTATGGTTGTTTCTTCGCAAGACAAGAACGATCGCTTTAATAACAGGGTAAGCGATGAGTGGCATGGGTTAAATGTGTGTATCACGAATCGTGGCAAAAAAATAGATATACGAATCGTAACATCGATATGAGGTTGCGTTTTTCATCGAAATTCGATATATGCGCATCGTTTTTTTTTTCTTCTCTCTATACGATTAATCGCATTTTAAAACGATTTCATTTCCTGAGTGTATTCAAACCAGCGTTTAAAAAAATGATACAAAAAATCCTGTTGAATTGTTTAATAACATTAACATCACGAGAAAATGATTGTACCCGTATGTAAAAAGGGTTCCAATCGAATGTTTGAATGTCGAAAGATGTGACAATGGCAGATTTCATGTGATGACGAATAAACGCAACGCGCAAAAAAGTCGAAACTAAATTTGATGTCTTTTTTTTCTCAATTAGATTTTTACACGGGTCAGGTACGAATTTGGAATGGAAGCTAAGATGGGCAAACGAATAATAAAGCAACAAATCGGGGAATGAATCTGAACAAAGAAAAATTGATGATAGAAGATCAGAAATTGTTTAAAATCGTTGAAAAAGCAAATCAACGCGATATTTTGTGTACGAAAGTTAAAGAAGAATTCAAAACGCATCCGTCGCATTACACAGTAGTGATGTCATTCATTCCTTTCGCTTCAATCGTTTTCGAAACGAATATCTGTGAGAGCAAAAAATATATAATCGCAACGGATTTTCGTGCAGATACCATTTAACATTATTCGCGGCAAACGTATGTTAACTATCAGTTTGATAAAAACAAAATAACAGATACACTAAAATAACATGAAACAATAATGAAATGCAATGATGTAAATTTCGTTTGGAATGGCGTTCCTTTCATAAGTAAGTCTTCATTAATGTATGGTTTGAAATAAGAACAAGCCGAATCAAAGCTATCAACGCAAAAATACTATACTAATTTCATGCTGAATCATAAGTCGATTTATTCGGTATTTGTATCTTTTTTTTAACTTTGAAATCGTGCGCTTTTGATGATTGTATTCATTGTTATGCAGAAAAATCACACTGTTATATAGAACACAACATCTCTATGGCCGATCTCGGCTCCTCTTTGATTTGAATAATAAATTAAGGAATAAATTACTTCAAAACTTTATCAAAAACCTGTATAATATAACTTTGACCTGTGTAGTTTCTGTTTAGCGGGGATTCTTGGCAGATTTTTTTTTGGATTCATGCTACAAATAGCAAATGCAAAATAATATCAACACTCTAAAATCCGAAATTGATATGCGGCGACACGCATTAAGATCTTTTCCATTGAAAACAGAGACATACATATTTTTGGCATTTCCTTTGTCTACCGAATCTTAGTACTTTGCAATAATTATGTTTAATTCTGCAATGATGAGTCGTCCGCGTTTCGCATAGTTGAAAATTATTATTCTAAATCAATTCCATATGCCAAGTAAAAAAAGTGCATATAATAATTAGTATGTTGACATTCCAATCTCAGATCGATTGTCTCGGCACTTTGACCATGATATAAGCTCAATACTTTTCAACGTTAAAATAGTCGTAATAATATTTTTAGTTATTCAACAATGCGTGAAATATTTATACTGTGAATTACACACGCTGTGGGAATTCTCGGAATGATATTTGCTCATAAATGATTATTCGCATGAAATATCACATACAGTGTATGTGATATTTGTTTCGATTGTTTTCATCGTTGAAAAGTAGTCTGAAATGTTTGGAAAATGTTCTGTAATAAAAAATGCATTTAATAAGAAATACTTAGAATTCTTGATATTTGTCCCCTCCCCACCCTCCTAAAAAAAGAGCACAACGAACGGAAATATGCACGTTGTCAATGTAATTCAATAAAATACATTTGCATATTTTATCGTGGCAATGATAAATGAAGAATACATATTTTATGCAATTGTCTTATTTTTCTCACGTTCATGATATCTTTTCAATGGCTTCTATTGCAATGAAAACATAAAACAATCGATAAAGATATGTTCTGCAGTGCTATTGAGATTGTTGGCACAGCCACCGATCAAACTTGGGAGAACGATAAAAACAATTATAATTGTTGAGTTCAAGTCAAGTCAATTTGAGTCTTTGTAATAAACCGTCCATATTTCAGACAATTTTCGGAGTCAAGCAAAAAAAAAATCATTCGAAAAACTATATACTTTACACAGAATATGCATAGATTTCATGAAGCTTATCCATTTGCACCAAAATTCATCATTTTTTTTTGGTAATTGTATTAACGTTTTCAAGAATTTGAATAGTCTGGGATATGGATAGTTCACGATACGATATTTCTATGCTCGAAAATGTCACGACTTTTTTTCTGCTCCAAACAACTATAAAAAGTCACTCGAAGCGAAAAAAAAAATTTCTCAGTGTATGCCACTCAAACATCTGTTCCATTTCTAATCTTGCAATATTTTTCAATGCCGCTTGTCCAATTATTTCGAAAGCCAAAAATTATATGTCGTGAGTTAAATTAGACATTTCCATTTTGTTATTCAAATTTGCTCTTTTTCTTCGTTCGAACAACATTATAACGTATATCAAATGCGATTTTGAAGGAACACGTACAATAAATGTATCATGTAATTTAATGTGATTTTCATTGTTGTTCACCGCTACAGCATAATGTCATAGCATCCAATGGAACGAAAATCTGATAATACCGAATAACGGGGTAAAATAGAAAATAGACTTAATATCACTTTCAAAATAGATGCAATGACAATGTCGCAACAATTGTTTTGAGTTTTGCTCATGAGTACGTGTGACGCTTGAGTATAATCTCATCAGTACGGCGTGTAATTCGATTGACAGCATTTTCTAAGCAAATAGATTCATTGAAAGATTTCATCAGAAAATGTTCTAGTTTTTTCAAACAAAAGAACTGCTTTTTTTACCACTAATGGTATATCAATTCGCCAAAGTATTGAAATCAGAAAAAAACATAGTTCAAATTTGCTGATTTTTCTATTGGTTTCAGTTTTGTTCGGTTCGGATGGAAATATTTTGTAATTGCATCTTTCTCTGTCCATTTGAATTAGCTATTTGTACAATGTTTGCTTTGGGTCAGTTACAATCGGAACGAAATATTCATAGAAAACGACATCATCATTGATATGCGCACGACACTATTATTCATTCGTGCTGTTCCCAAGGGCTCAAATTTGATTTTAATTTTACCGCCAGAATGAAATATGAGCAGGCGAAAGAGCTTTTCTATTTGTAAAAGAATACATTGTGCACACAGGCATAAATTGGAATGAGAAATAGATTTGTTCGATGCACGGTCCGCATGAAACTAGATGTAAATAGTTCTCAAAATTATTTTTGGATTGCAAGTAAACACGACCAAGATCGTTCACATATATACACACACTCTCACACACATACAAGTTGTACAGATTATTTGTTCTTGTCCAACCAATGAAAATAATAATCAATTTCGCTCGAAAGAAGAATATTTCATTTTACTTTGTTCCATCACTCACAGCACTCGTTTTTTTCTCTCTCTTTCTCTTTCGTGCGCGCTCCATGTCTCTTTCGT